AAAGCTGCGTTTTTCAGTTTTGTGGCTGCCATTTGGGAGGCGCGGCAGAGAGCTCGACTGGGTGCAGCAAAAGGACACAGGCACTTCCATCTGGGGGACTTGTTTCTTTACCTCCTACCTGCCCGCTTAGATACAGGTAGTCATTGAACTCACTGATGAAGCTACTGCATGCGCCGAGTGCCCCAGTGCTGTCTTGTGCCAAGGCCCTGGTGGGACTGGCAGACAGACGTTCCTGTGCAAAGGATGAGCTGGAGGGTCTTGTCCAGCAGAGCTGCTCTGAGCTCATGGTGAGCTGATGGCAGTTGAGCTTGGTCTACAGCATGGAGCAGCTTTGCTGTTGTGACCGAACCTGATGGCCTGTTCTTTGCTTCACCTACTTTCCAGGTAGTTCCTACATGAGTGCCTTGGAGATTGGGGGTCTGGTGGGAAGCATTGCTGCTGGATACCTTTCTGACAGAGCCGTAGCAAGAGTAAGTAATCTGGACCCTCAGGTGTGCTGGGCAGTTGACAAAGCATCAATTCGAGCTGCTTCAGGCTTTCTACATTTGTTTTTGGCTTCCTTGGTGAGTGCTTAAAGATGATTTCCCCCCCACCCCGCCTCTCTAATACCTGCACCAGCAGTGGAGCAGAATGCTCTCCACGTTTATGTTCCTCTGGAGATTGAGGACACCCAGAATGCAGAGGTAGGGTTGCCTCACGCTAGGAAACAGCCGCTCTCAGTACCATGTTTCTTTCTTCTGTCTCCCCCTTTCTGTCTCAACTGCCCTGCTTTGAAATGGGACTTTCGAAAATCAGACAATTCTTGATTAACCCATCTCTCTCCCTTCATGTGGAGGTAGGTTGAGAGGGACGTGACCCATCTCGACAGCTTAACTAAGGTGCTCAGTCAGGGTGGTGCTGGCAGCTAAGTAAGCCCCTACCCAATGCTGCTGTGTGCATGAGGACAGCTGCTGAACGCCCTAGAAGGTGTGGGGAAATACGTATGCGGATGTTAGGGACTGCAGTACGCCTGCCGGGTTTAAGATGTTTGATCTGTTTAATTTGTTGGCTTTACTGTGCTCTCCAGCTTTCTGTGTTGAAACAGATCTGGTTGTTGACAGTTGTCTTCTGGCTGAAAAAAAACCCACATGAAAATCCAGTGGTGGGATCTGAAGCCAAATTCAGGGTGGAAATAGGGCGCGTTCGATAACAGAAGTATCATTCATCACTAAGAGCTGCTTGTTTAGCACAGTTTGACTGCGGGCAGTCCTTAAACCAAACCAAGAAGTCTTGCTAAAAGGTGTGCTTTTTGATGGGCCGTCCATGTTTCTGACGGGGCCGTGTGGACGGCGCTAGTTACTACGAGTATAAAATGGAAGGAGTCCTTCCAGCTTCTGACCCTCAGTTTCCCTTCCTGTGTTACAGGTGGGTCTGTCAAGCTACGGGAATCCTCGGCACACGCTACTGCTTTCCATGATGGCCGGGATGTGCGTGTCCATGTTTCTCTTCCGCGTCACGGTCACGGGCGACTCTCCCAAGGTAATCCGCGCACAAGCAGCTGACCGTAGGTTGTAGGGAGAGCCCTTTAACTGTGAGGAGCTTGACGACAGGGAGCGTGACTGTTCTTTTCGTCCTTCCCAAGAAGTGGGAAAGTTTGCATCTTCTTTGCGTTACAGAGAAGCAGGCTAACTTAGTCTGGTTTGGACTGCTTCCGCTGCCTAAGTTGGCTGGGGTAGCCTGCGTTACTGGCCGTAGTGTAGACATGACTTGCATCTGCCCAAATGACTGCTAAATAAATGAAACCTCTTTTCTCCTTTCCTTTTTTTTCTTCTTCAGGAAAATCACTTCTGGACTGTAGCCTTGCAACCTCTAGCTGATCTTACAGGCCTAAAAGAACATGAGGTTTCTGCCTTGCATTTTTTCTCCCTCTGCCTGTTTCTGCTTTTGCTGATCTGCCTTTTTCCTATCCTGGGAGGTTGGTTAGCACTCCAGGACTTAGAACCAGGGCACTGAGAAGATTACTGTAAGTTTTGTAAGAGAAAACTTTTCTTATAATCATTTGATTACACTAACTGACTTTAAAAGTCTGAATATAAAAATTTTAAGTTCTTGTACAGAAGGTTCTGAGGACGTTTGTTTATCAGGTAAAAGGTAGCCAGCTAAGGGGTCTCATGAGTGAGGCCAGGAGGAATGATTCTGCTCCTGCAGGTGCCTTCCTCCTTAACTTTGGCAAGCGTTTTCCTCGCTTTTGGTTTCTGCTTCCCATCTGGAAAAGACGATGGCACTTCCTTCCTTCTGTGCATCTTGAAATGGGTTTACAGTTCAAAAAGCATGCTGTAATCTTGAAACGGTCAAGTTGCTTACCCTTTGTTGTGCTTCCACTAGTGACTGATAAATTCTCAGCTGGGTAGCCTTCTGAGAGCATAAGCTAACACTGAAGTTCAGACGGAATGGGTTTTTTTGGTTTTATTTCTCTGTTTGTTTAGTAACATGGAGCTTATCGGATAGCGGCCACTCGCAAATAAAGGTGCTCTGATCAGTCGCTTGCATCTAAAATGAAAAAAGCTTTCAGACGGTGTCTCCAGGACTGTTTTGAAAAGCGACTCGATTCACAGCTCGCTCCCGTGATTTCAGGGGCTCGCTGCCCACCTTTCTTCGATGTTCTGGCTCTTTCTTGCAAAACAGCACATACCGCGTGTTACACGGTGTAGGAGGCAGAACTGTAGCAGAGAGGAGAGCTCACGCTGGCTAACAGGACGGTGCGGTGGAGGTGCAGCTGGGCTCTGTGTTTGTGGGGTCTGTCACAGGCTTGAGCCTGACCGCCTGCAGGCCAGGGAGCTGGTGTCAGCCCAAAAATGTCAAAGCCCCCTCATACCCGCGTAGGATCTGCGGTTTGTCAGCAGCTGCTGATGGACGGCGGTGAGGTGCGCCGATCCCGTTTCTGATCTTGGCTTGTTCTGACAGCTGTGGATCCTGACCCTGGGAGCTGTGTTTGGGTTCTCCTCCTACGGGCCGATCGCCCTGTTTGGGGTCATAGCCAACGAAAGCGCCCCTGCCAACCTGTGCGGCACCTCCCACGCCATAGTGGCTCTCATGGCCAACGGTGAGTAATGCCCGTTCCCCCGAAAACCAAACAAAACCCGCCTGTGTTCTTGATGAAGCGTGGTCTAGGCCCCGGGTGCCAAGTTGCTGGTCGTGGGGAACCGCCGAAGCAGCAGAGATAATAGAGCTGGAAGCCTCAGGGATGCTTTCTGCTCTACCTGATGGGTTTTTGCCTTCTGCTTCAAGTTCAAACCAGGCCTGAGGAATCTTTACACATGCAAAACCAAATACTGGCTGATGAAATTGAGATGCTTAAGCATTGCTAGTTTTATGTTTGTTTTTCTCTTACAGTTGGGGGTTTTCTGGCTGGATTACCCTTCAGTACCATTGCCAAGCACTACAGCTGGGCCACAGCCTTCTGGGTAGCTGAAATCACCTGTACTGGTAGCACGGTGGCTTTCTTCTTGCTGCGGAACATCCGCACCAGGATGGGCCGGATTCCCAGGAAGGCTGACTGAGGATAAGCTGCTTGGTGGAAAGGATGCTCCCACGCTGATGTGAATGATCCTCGTTTTTTGTTTAACTGGCCTAGGAGTGACTTTACCTATTGCTGCAACCTAGATAAAAATGTCTCGGTTTCTTGTCCACTGTCACGTGCCTGAGGGCACAAGGTTCCTGCTACCGATCACTTTTTTCCCTCGAGATGTGATAATTCAGCTAGTTTACATTTGCAATGATTTTACTGTACCTCCTCACAGCACTGTTGGTGAAGCAAGCAGGCTTCGCAGCCTGAGCTTCTCCACTAAAAGTACTCTAAAATGACTGACTTCAGGTGCCGTCACGTTTAGTTTTGTCCTCGCTGTTCGTCTCGGCCATTAACTGTCGATCCAGCCTCGTTGTTCAGGGGTGCTGAAGCGAGCCTTCGCCAACGCTCGTTCATCCCGCGCGGCTGCTGTAAACGCGGCTGCCTCGGTTTACTTAGGCGTGAGCTCCCTGCCCGCTCTCGGTCCTGGAACAGCGACAGAGCAGTGAATGATTGATTATTACAGTTCGGCCTCACGGCTGATTTGGGAGCAGCGTGGCTTTAGCTTTACCCGGGATTAGCTGTTAGGAGCGAGGGCGGCGTTTTGCTCTGGACAAGCGCAACGCCGATGCGGTGCTGTGGCAGGGCTCTCCGCAGCACTTAGAAATAGGCACGTTTCCAAGAAATTCTTGGCACTTCAGGGGAGGGCATTTAGAGAAGCTCCTTCTGTTGAACTGGTCCTGCCCGGTGCGACGACTGTGTACAGTGTTAATGATTTGCAAGGGAGGCAGCTGCTGCCAAGTCAGCTTGTAGCAAATGCTCTGCAAATCAGCCAGGAAAACTGACCCGGTAGCAGGTATTGCGACAGAGCTACCGCCGGCCCACTACCGGGTTTCATGAAAACCCGTATTTCTAGCATTGGCTTGTATGTTTTCAGTACAAGATGCGTAGTCTAGAACGTTTTTGGTCAAGAGCTGCATCTCTCGGGGCTGCGGGTAGGGGCTTGGGCTACTGAGAGCCGGCCACCGCTGGCAGCCAGCAGCCTTGAGCGGTCAGGCCCAGCACTCTTCGCAATAAGGAGGCTTGGGTTGTTAACCGCCATTTTGTTGAATATTCTTGTTTTTTCCCCCCGAAAGGATTTACTGCCTTAGGGTCCTGCAAGAGGCAAGTTCAACTCGTGAAGAACCTGCATGCAGGTACTTTGCTGAACAGCTTGGTTCTAAGAGTAGGTAGCCAGCCTTAATTAAAACAATGGAAGCGAATTGCATTTTGTACTTAATTATATGATCTTCTACTATCTGTGAAATAAAAACGGAGCAGTGTCATGAGGGCTCTGACTGTCTTACGGAGAACGTTGCAAGCAGAACCACCTAAACCCGCTTATCCTCTTGAGGTGCTACTGGCACAAATGTACCCTTGCCAACAGAAAAAAAAGCAGCCGTCCACCTCTTTGAGGAACATTTATTACTCCTACATGGAAACCCTCTGCAAAACCATAAGTTAGAGCTGTACAGGAAAAATACATATGTACAATTATGAAACGAAAGAAAATAATCATTGACTGCGGTAAGGCCATGGACCCCGCACCTTATCTTTCTTTCTTCACTCAAGGGCAGTGGAGCCACAACAGCAGAGTTAAGTCTCTCTGTGGCCCAATGTAAACAGTAGTAATGTGTCTCTTTAAGGTAGATTTCACAACAAAGGGGATAAAAAAACAGCATTGTGGGAAATAATGAAGCATGTTTTGGGGATACGCAGTCTCCGCTGTGGAAGAGCGAGCTCCGGGAGAGGCCAGCTAGGGAAGAGACAAGCCCTGCTCTTCAGAGAAACGAGCCTGTGCAACAGGCGAGGTTTTCTCTACGATCCAGGTCCGAAGGGTCCAGCTTTCTCTGCCACCTCCAGAGCAAGTTTCAGGTTCTGATCAAACAACTCGCATCTGAAACAGTCAAAAAAGCAGAAGGGCATGACTTTTCCTCCGAATAGGCTAACGAAGGCAGCATCTCCACACCCTTTGGCTCTGCATCCTTCAAGGAAAGATACCGTAAGTCACAACACAGCGACCTGACTGCTGTCAAACTTTGGCTTGGCCGTTAAGTACAGGTAAAGCTTCTCCCGTGGGCTCCAGGTTACAGCTCCTGCTGTTAGGACAGCGGGGACTGTACCAAGGAAGAGCACGTCCCACTTCCCCAGCAGAGCAGCGCTGGAAAAAGCACAGGTCAGTGTCCCGTCCCTGCAGCAGTGCTCCGTGTCTTCCCCCTTCCCTCAATCTCTGGGTCTGCTTTGCTACTTAAGGGCCGGCAGCGTTTGTTATGGCACGGGCAGAGTGATGAGGGGTTGTAGCCGCGTTACTGGAAGTGGGCTTTTCCTTACCTGATTGGCATCTCCAGGGAGTAGAAAGGATTCTTCAGAGCAAAGTCAGAGTAAATCTCATAGATCTTGCGGAGAAGGGAGTCTATCCCTGCCTGCCTTGGGTCAGCAAGAACCATGAATTTGATCCCTAGAGCCACAATGACAGAAGCGTGAAGAGGGTGGAGCTCCGTGACAGCCCCGGCACAGCAGAGGGGTGCTGGGTGCCCCGGGGCCAGACGGTACCTGTCAGCGTCTGGAAGCAGTGCAGCTTGAAGGTGTCTGTCTCCAGCATCTCGATCCCGGAGCTCCCGACTTCGGGGGACAGCTGCGATCCGATGGCAAAGATCCCTAGAGCCACAATGACAGAAGCGTGAAGAGGGTGGAGCTCCGTGACAGCCCCGGCACAGCAGAGGGGTGCTGGGTGCCCCGGGGCCAGACGGTACCTGTCAGCGTCTGGAAGCAGTGCAGCTTGAAGGTGTCTGTCTCCAGCATCTCGATCCCGGAGCTCCCGACTTCGGGGGACAGCTGCGATCCGATGGCAAAGAGCCTGTGGGGACATGGCCCTTAGCAGCCCCGTCCCCCCTCGCCACCCCCGGCCCGCCCCATCCCGCCCGAACTCACGAGTGGAACATGGAGGCCAGCATGAGCTTCTCGTTGGAGGAGAGGCGGTGGCGACCGAAGCGGATGGACACCGGGTAGTTGGCGGGGTTGCCCAGGAACTCCAGCACGTCCTTCCCATCCGCCGTGA